CCAGGGCCTCGCACAGACACGGCTGCCTCTGCGAAGACTGCTCCCTGCGCAAGCGGGCCAAGCATGCGTGAAAATGTCTACCAATTGTCGCCATTGTTCGTCTGCCCTTTACCCCCCCTCTTCCACTCCTTCCCCCCCCCTCCTGCCCACTTCCTCCCCCTCCACTCTCAACTGCTCCTCCCCTCCTCCTCCTGCCCGCGCCCTCCCCTCCCCCTCCTCTTTCGCAGCTTCCCTGCCCCTGGCACTGCCCCTGCCCCCGCGCCGAATATGACACAGCCCTGGCGGGCACGAAGTACTTGCTCTCGGCCTCTGTCCTGCCCTGTTAGGCCGAGGGATGGCGGAGCCCGCGGGGTCAGCACCTCCCGCGGTTGGTCGCTGCCCTGCCTGGCCCGACGCCGCACGCGGCGCGGCAGGGCGGGGTGCAGCACAACGTTGCACGGACAGGGCAGGGCACAGCACAGCAAGCACGGCGAACAGCACGGCAAACAACGCGGCAAGGCACGGCACGGCAAGGCACGACACGGCACTGCGCAGCAAGGCACAGCACGGCAAAGCACCGCATATCAAGGCAGCGCAGAGCGCGGCAAAGCACAGCGGCAGTGCACGGCACAACATAACAAAACAACACGCGGCAACGGAGGGCGCGTCCGAACCAAGAACGCCAGAACACCGTTCACTGACAAAACCATGAAACAAACACGTCCACACAGAAACCACACAACCACAACGCGCAACATAACATGAAACACACAAACAACGCAACCACAGTGCGCCACAGTGCGCGCGCCTGCATTGATACCATGCAGTCACATGGTTAGTCACGTGATGAACACGCACTACATGCGATATTTCGAAACGATGTGTAACAGGAGCTCGCCGCCGCGTGCCGAAGTTCGCGCGTGCCCTTAAGGTTGGTATCACATACAATACAGTCGGCCTTACCATTAACTTATGATGTTGCCACTTGTTATATAACATGTGGTGATGACACCATGCAGATGATGATGTGTGTTACATGTTAGCAAATAGCACTGTAGACGTGGGCGGTTAGTTTAACACTTCTGGGACCCCTGGGCCACCAGCCGTGGGCTCCGGAGGTCCGCTTCGCGCCGTGGTCCCAGGCCATGTGGAAGTACCACAGGGCGTGGATGGTGGCGCGCGTGTCGGGGGCCATCCCGGGGGTCGTCTGGGGCGTGGAACTCCAGCCTGTCCCGGGCGAGGCGTGCGCCCTCTGCGGCGGCGAGGCAGCTGGCCTCCACCACCTGCTCGCGGATTGCCCGGTCGTCGACGCATTCCGACGCGTGCTGCGGGCGCGCGTGGGCGACGCCGCCCTGGCTTGCGGCGTCCCCGAGTGGGCCCTCTCCGACACCGCGCACCTCGCCGAGCTCGCGCTGAAGGTGGAGTTCGTGGGGAGGGTAGCGGGCGCCCACGTGCACGCGCGCAGGGCGTAGAAAAACCGCCCCCCCCTACGCCATCGCCTCCGCCCTCGGTCGCCGTCGCCGCCGTCGTCTCCCGCGGCGCGTGGCCCCGCGGGCGCTGGATTCTGGGCCGGCGGCGCCGCGGCCCAGAATCGGCCCCCGGGCGGTTGGGCGCGCGGGGGCGTTTCTGGGCCGACGGCGCAGCGGCCCAGAATCAGCCCCAGGGAGCCTGGAAGCTGTGGGGCCGCGCGTTGGGTCAGCGGGGCGGCTCCCGGCCAGGCCGGCCGGCCCCGCCCGCCGCCGCCGCCCCCCCCCTTGTCGCCGCCAGCCCAATCGCAGTCGCCGCCATCGTCGCCCGCGGCGCGCGGGCCCGCGGGCGCTGGATTCTGGGCCGGCGGCGCCGCGACCCAGAATCGGGCCCCGGGCGGCTGGGCGCACGGGGGCGGATTCTGGGTCGTCGGCGCGGGGGCCCAGAATCAGCCCCAGGGCGCCTGGCTGCCGGGGGGCCGCGCGGTGGGCCGGCGGGGCGGCGCCCGGCCCGGCCGGCCAGCCCCGCCCGCCGCCGCCCCCCGCGTCGCCGCTTGTCCAGTCGCCGTCGCCGCCGTCGTCGCCCGCGGCGCGTGGGCCCGCGGGCGCTGGATTCTGGGCCGGCGGCGCCGCGACCCAGAATCGGCCCCCGGGCGGTTGGGCGCGCGGGTCAATTCTGGGTCGACGGCGCGGCGGCCCAAAATCAGCCCCAGGGAGCCTGGAAGCTGTGGGGCCGCGCGTTGGGTCGGCGGGGCGGCGCCCGGCCCGGCCGGCCGGCCCGCCCGCCGCCGCCGCCCCCCCCTTGTCGCCGCCAGCCCAGTCGCAGTCGCCGCCGTCGTCGCCCGCGGCGCGTAGACCCGCGGGCGCTGGATTCTGGGCCGGCGGCGCCGCGACCCAGAATCGGCCACCGGGCGGCTGGGCGCGCGGGGGCGGATTCTGGGTCGACGGCGCGGCGACCCAGAATCAGCACCAGGGTGCTTGGACGAGGCCCGACCGCGGGCGGTGCGCCGCCCCGCCCTCCTCCCCTCCCCCCGCCGTGCCTGCTCCGCCCCCTCCCCCCCCCACTCTGCGCCCCCCGCCTCCTCAGGGAACGCTGTCGCGCCTGCCCCGGCCTGCCCGGGCAGGGCGCTTCAACGTCAGCAGCGCGTCCCCGCCGAGCCGTCCCCGCCGGGCGTAGAAACGCCCCCCCCGTGATTCTGGGTCGCCAGCGCCGCGACCCAGAATCGGCCCCGGGGGGCCGGGGCGCGCGGGGGCGGATTTTGGGTCGACGGCGCGGCGGCCCAGAATCGCCAGCCGAGCCGGGGCCGCTGCTGGACCGCGCCCCCGTCTCTCCCGCCCCTGCCCCTGCCCGCTCCGCCTTCTCACCCTCCCCCCCCCGTTCCTTTCCCCCCTCTTCAGGGGGCGCTGTCGCGCCTGCCCCGGCCTGCCCGGGCAGGGCGCTTCAACGCTGCCCGACGCCCTAGCGATGCGGCCCCATAGGCCTGTCGGGCACGGAGGAGCTTCGCGGGGCGGTCCCCTCAACCATCCCACGAGGGTTGGTTGGCCCACGACATTCCTGATGTCCAAATTCTGATGTCCTCCTCCTCCTCCTCCTCCTCCTCCTCCTCCTCCTCCCCCTCCTCTCCTCCTCCTTCCTCCCTCCTCCTCCCTCCTCCCTCCTCCTCCTCCCTCCTCCCCTCCTCCCTCCTCCTCCTCCTCCTCCTCCTCCTCTCCTCCTCCTCCTCCTCCTCCTCCTCCTCCTCCTCCTCCTCCTCCTCCTCCCTCCACCGGGGCCGGCAGCTCGACCCGAGGCGAGCTTCGGGCGCTGCTGCCTGGGGAGGCGACAGGGGGGGGGGGGAGCAACGTGCACCTCTCGCGGCCCTCCTGGCCCCCAGGGGGGCCTCCAGGGCGCAAAAGGTGCGCCCCTCTTCACCCCCCATGGACCGCCCCCCCCCCCCCCCCCCCACACACATCCCCCACACAGCGCACCGCCCGAGACTTGTCCTGGTCCCGTGGCCCGGCGAGGGGCCCAGGCTCGCCATCGCTCGGACGTCCATTCCCTGTGTTTTTTTCGGTTTCGTGCGCGGCTTTTCCCCCAAATGATCAAGGATGCTCCTCGATGGTCCTCGCCGAAGGAAAATGCACACGTCCGAGCGATGCCAAGCAGGAGGCCGAGGGTGGCCCGAAGCCGTCCCCCGCGTCTTGCCCCAAGCCTTGCCCCCGACCAGCGCCTGCCGCCCCCTCCGCGCGGCGGGTGCCGTGCCGCCGCGGCCGCCGCCGCGGCCGCCGCGCGGCGGCCACCGTCGAGGCCGCAGCGGCGGCCGCGGCGGCCGCCGCAGCCGCATCGCGGCAGCACCTTCCGTGCGGAAGGTGCAGGTCGCGGGCGTCCGCGACGCGAGAGGGCCCCGGCCCTGGGCTCCGACGTCGGCCCCCGGGGGGCCGACGTCCGGGGAGCGTGCCGCCCAGAGTCGCAAGGCAGGCCCAGGCGTGGCGACGGGAAGCTCCCCAGAGGGCCAGGAGGGGCAAGAAGCAGCAGAGACAAGAACGCAGCAGGGGGAGGGGAGCACTCGACGCTGGAGCGGACTCCAGGAGGAACGATGGTCCTTCATCGAAGAATGAGTCCCACTTCATTGGAGAATCGAACGGAGAGGATGCAGCAAGGACGCAGTGAGGATGATGGATGAAGAGGAGCAATAAGCTCAAAATGAGCAGGGGCCGAACCTCCTGGTATTCCTTTAGGCCTCCCACGATATGTTCTTAGAGCGAAGTATGTTTACAGAACAGAGGCAAAGTGTCTTACAATATAGAATTGGTGTCTTGAAGCAAGACGGTCGCAACCAGCAAAGGTTCTAAAAGCACTTCGCATGTACCACGGAAGGATTCAAAAACATTCTTTGGTGTTCCTGCAGTCAGGAATTTTTGCTTAGCGTGGCGCCGCGGCGGCCTTGGCGGCACGCCATGCCCTGAAAGCGGATAGCGTGTCGCTCCGCTCCCCTGGGCGGGAGGCTCGCAAAGGGTCGGGACGTTGACGCTGGGGGGCCAGGAAGTGGATAGCGTGTCGCGCCGAAGCGTGTTGGGCCAGAACCGGCGGAGTGACACTCTATCCAGAAGTTCCCGGCCGTATAGCATGTCAGGTTGGAGGCGGCCAGGGAGTCTGAACTGGCTGGGGCCCCAGAAAATCGATGGAGAGGGGGGATGACGGCAAATCCACTCAAAATCGCTTACAAAATCCCTCCTGGGTCTGTCTGGGGCAGTGTTTCACCCCGGATCCGTTTCTGACGGCCCCAAGCCTCGAAAACGATGGCCCCCGAAGGCCGAGCAAGGCAACAAAACACCCTCGGACCCAGACCCTCGAACCTACCTCCCTATCCTGCTCGCCGAGACCAGCGCTGGGACACCTCAGACCCCCAGCCGGCTCCAAGCTTCGCCACTGCTCGCTCGAAGCTCGACAGCACCGCGGGCAGCTTACGCGCCCGTGTCGGCTGCACAGCATATCAGGACGCGTCGCTGCTGCTCGATCGAAAGACCCAACAGCACCGCGGGTGGAGCCACCGCGAGCGGCCCGGGCAGCAGCGCTCACTGCGCCGCCGACATCTGGGCGCTCAGCATGGTGCCCTTGCGGTCCAGGAGCTTGTCGAGCAGCTCGGACGCGCTCTTCGCCCGGCGGAGCGCCTGGAGATGATGATGATGATGATGATGATGATGATGATGATGATGATGATGATGATGATGATGATGATGATGAAGAAGAAGAAGAAGAAGAAGAAGAAGAAGAATAAGAAGAAGAAGAATAAGAAGAAGAGGGAAGACTGGGAGGAGGAGGGGGAGGAGGGGGGGGAAGAGGATCTCCACGAAGGAATCCGGGAGGGAAGGAGGAAGAGGAGGAGGAGGAGGAGGAGGAGGAGGAGGAGGAGGAGTAGGAGGAGGGTAAGAGGGAGGATAAGGACGAGGAGAAGGAGGAGGAGGAGGAGGAGGAGGAAAAACTGGAGGAGGAGGAAGAGGAATAACATGAGGAGAAGGAGGAGGAGGAGGAGGAGGAGGAGGAGGGGGAGGAAGGAGAGAAAGGAAAAGGAGAGAGGGGGATGATGATGATGATGATGATGTTGATGATGCTGATGACGATGATGATGATGCTGATGCTGTTGATGATGAGGATCATGATGATGATGATGATGAGGAGCGAGAGGAGGAGGGGGAGGAGGAGCGAAAGGGGGAGGAGGAGGGGAAAAAGTGAGGACGGGGAGAAGGACGCAAGGATGCAACTCATAGAGGCGCCAGTTAGTAGTTACCCGCCAGCGCTCTGAAACGACATGAGAGCTACGGCGCAACCCTTGAGCACGCCTCGCAATCTCAAAATAGCGAGAACTCTCTAGATGTCGGGCGCTTTCCTGCGAGGAGATAGGGGCGCCTCCCTAGGCCCCTTCTCCAAGCGCCCCGCTGCAAAGCTTCTTCAAGAGAGGCCCCGGCCTCTTCGACAACACGCCCCGCAGCTACAGCAGAACCTGTGTAAGGCCCTTTGCGCCCTATTCTCACCATGCCCCATTTCTCGCCTTGTGACCACGGTCTGCGAAACCATTATCACCGCCGCCGCCGCCTCCTCCTACTCCTCCTCCTCCTCCTCCTCCTCCCCCTCCTCCTCCCCCTCCTCCTCCTCCTCCTCTTCCTCCTCCTCCTCCTCCGCCTCCTCCTCCTCCGCCGGTTCTCGCCCTGCCCCGCCGCCGCCGCCTCCTCACAGGCACTCGCGCGGCTCCCAGGGCCCCCAGGCCCCGCACCGGACCGCTTGAAATTGCCCGCCGAGGCCGACGCCCGTAGATGCCCACAGTGGCACAGCAAACCTGCAGCGGCGTGGCATTACTTACATGACTTGCCTGGCCCGCCGGCGACGTTATGCTCGGTCGCGGGAACCCGAGACTGGGCCAGGCGCCTTCCACAAACCAAGTGGCCAGGTTAGGCTGCGTTCCCCTGGAGCCCGAGAAGCTTGTTGGGCTGTGTCCCGCGGGCAAGCGCACTGTAGTGCACTTGTGCTGTACTTGCGAGCACGAACCGAGATTTGCTCCTCGATGTTTTCTCCGGAAGCGGCAATTTGAACACCAGGCCACGCGAAGAACTTCGCACTGCTGTTGTACGTTTTGAACATTTCGGCGGCATCACGGCGTCAGCCACCTTGCGATCATCGGCCCCCGGCTGCGCGAAGAAATCAGCACGGCAATTGCCTGCCTGCCAGCGTGGAGGCCCACCAGGGTGCGCTCCCGGAACATCACGCATGTCTAGATGAGCAGGGGCCCATTCAAAAGACGTGGGCTCCGAACGAGGCTTGTGCGAGTCAAGATCTGACGCCGGACCGAGCAGAGGAACCCCCCTGAAGCCGCCAGGCTGGGACTCCAGTCCTGGCCCTCCCAAGCGGCCCCCAAGAGATCCGAGGCCAGAACCTGGGCCCCAGGAGAATTCGACCGTGCCCTGAACAACGCAATCCGCTCGGTCATGCAGGCCGTCTGGATGGGGCCTGGGAGCGGCCAGTGACGGGCTCTGGCAGGAATCCCTTCCCTCCCCAGCCGCCCGCCCACAACTTCGGACTTCGAGCCGGGCACTGCGCAATTCTGATCCGCCCGCGAAGGCGTCGCGGGGCCAAGATCTGCGTCAAGGCTTCCGGTCTCCCAAGCGAGAAATCTGCATCGGATCAGGCGGCGAGGCCGGCCTCGCAGGAGCCCGCGGGAGGCCGAGGCAATAGCCCATCATGTCCCAGCATTCGTCGCCGAAGTCGCCCACGGCACACTCGCCGAGGTAACCCCTGGCCTGGCTCATCTCGAGAAGACCCTGGCCTGGCCCATCTCGAGGATCCTCGCCCCATCCAGGCAGCCCCTTCGCAGCCTCACCTTCCAGCAAGAGAGGGCGCGCACGCATCGCGCGCCGCGGCGCGCCGCGCGCCCGCTTGGCGTGGCACTCGCGGGGGAGACAGATGAGCGACTTCAGCGGCTTCCTCTCGTGCCCCTTGGCTACCGTCATGCATGTAGCCTCCTGGCCAAGGCGATCTGAGCGCCCGCGCTAAATGTGGCTGCTTGACAGCGCCGTCGACCCGCCCCATCGCGAGCGGAATGGCACGGGACCAGATCATTTCGCTGCCGTCGAAGTGCTCGGAGACGCGCTTGCAGACCTGGCGGCCCTGCGACCGCCTGACGCCCCCCTTATGCAGCCGCATGGTATCCTGGGGGCCGTCGCCATCAGCGAGATGCCCTGGCCCAGGCCCCAGCCGCCGGCTAAGGCCGTGCTGCTCGCCATGCTCCACCCGATCATGCGTGGGATGCGCCTGCAGGCCGCCGGCGGCCGTCGCGCGCCACTCCAAGTCGGCGCTGGCGGCGCCCACTTCTCTGCCGGCACTCACCGAGCGCGCTCCAGCATGCCCATCTCGCGCTGCGAAGCAAGGGTGCTAGTGACCCCCAGCGCGGCCTGTCGGCGGGGCCAGTGTACCTGTCGCGCTGCGAGGCCAGGCGCGCCGCGACGCTCGCCCCGCCAGACGCGGCCCCGCGCGGGCCGCCACCGTCCGCCGAAACTTCTGGACGTCGGTGCCAAGGATGCCTCGACAGCCGAACCACGCGCAGCAGACGGCGCCAGCCCTGGTCGCCGCAGTGCCTGGGCCTTCGCACCAGCCGCCCAGCGCAAAATCTTCGCCCTCGGCACGCGCCCCTTCAACTTGTCGAGCCGCGCCTGCACCGTCGGGCGCGCCCCGCGCCCCGAGCAGAGGTCGCCCCCCAAGTTGCGGTTCGCCTTCTTGGGTCTGATGCGCCACATTTGGCCCAGGGAACGAACGCTGCGCCCGAGGCCCTCCTGATGCTGGCAAATCCCCACCGCGGCGGTGAACTCCTCAGCAGCGTCTGCGCCGCCGCAGCTCCGAGCCTGCTTCCAGGACTCCACCTCTTTACCAGCTAGCCCGCGCGGCGACTGCTCGTGGCGGGCCTCCAGGATCTCCCGCGCAGCCTGCGGACGAGCGAACTCGCGTGCCCCACTGGCTCCATTTGCGAAAAACTGATCGGAGCAACTGCGCCACCTGGCATGGCCGTTCCGGCCGTGCACCTTCTGCTGCCTGTCACGCCCAGCCAGTGCCTTCTGCGCCATGGCGTCGGGATGGCGGCTCCCGATCTATTGCAAGAAGACGCCAGCAAATTAACTCGGCAAATCTGAAACCATGGACGCCTCATGCCAGCGAAAACTGACGCGCGCAATCGCCGTCGCCGTGATTTTCCTCCATCTTGCCCGCGCACCGGAGCCCCGAGCTACTGCCTCGCGCGAGGCGGCCTCCACTGCGCCGTCGACAACTGCGCGTCGATCGAGCCTCCTCTGCCCGAGCATATCTCCGCCTCGGGCGCCGCTGTCGCGGGCCCCCTGCAGCTCCCGCTCGATGCAGCTCGGCGTGGCGGCCCAGGTCCAGCGCGCCTCCTCCTCCGTCTTGGCGCAGGAGGCCTGGCGCTCCAGCGAGCCCCAGTGGACTAGGAATCGCGCGCAGCCCACTGGCGGAACCCCGGGGGAGGCCCGAGGTTCGAGCACCGCCCTAATCCAGGATAGCCGCTCCTCGTTCAAGAACGGTACACTCACTGGTCGAGGCACCTCCACCATGGCATCATCCATCGCCGCAGGTCTTTGAATCCGGGTGGCCTAATTCTCTCAGACCAGCGCGCAGTCGAGCGCGCCGCCAGGGGGCCCGGGCAAACGCGTCGGCCTTGCTGGCGACGCGAGAAAACCTCTCACACCGTCCAAGCACCCCCTGGGAACCAAGTCGGGCGCGTCATTCCAGCCGCCAAGAACCAGCCAATCTCGCCCAGCACCGTCGGGCGTGCCCAGATCCCAGATATCTGGGCAGCGGGAAGGGCAGCGCCTCCCGCTCCCAAGATCAAGCGGGCCACGGTCGCAACGACGCCTCCAGTGGTGCCCCAAGCGACGCCAACAGCTGCGATGCGCCCTGCTACCAGGATGACACTTTCCGTGCATGGAAATGCTTCGGCTGCATTGTGCGACCGCGCCAGCGCCGCGACCCCGCCAGATTGCCCCCGGCCTCCGCGAGCACCGCCGCAGCGTAGATCCCGCGGAAGTCAAAGTCCTTCGCGCGCCCCTGCAAGGAGGGGGGATTGGCCGCTGATGTCTCGCGCCCCTGCGCCGCGACGATCATGGCCGAGCAATCCTCGAGGGGGGGGGGGCCTGGGCGGCCCCGCGACGTCCTCGTTGACCGAAACTGAATACTCGCCGTGGCCCTCTGCGCCCCGAGCGCTCTGCGAACCCCCTGCCGCGCCCACCTCGAGCCCGCTGGCCCGAAGCAGCTGTGCGCCGCGCTACCACGGGGCGAAGGCGCGGGGCGGGGGCGGTCGCGCTCGGGGCACCCGCGGCTCCCGAGGGCGACGCTGAGGCCCCCCCCCCCCGCCGTCTGCGATGCGCAATCGACGGCCCCCCGCCCTTGTTTTGGCCTGCAGCGCAGGGGGCCGCGGCGGCGAGACGCGCCATGGCCGGCGCGGCACTCGCCCAGCATGCCAGCTGGACGCAACAGACGCCGTTGCCGAGCCAGCAGACGCCGAACAGCCGAGCACGGACATCGCCGCAGCTCCCGGTAAAAATTGCCTCGAGCTCGGCGCGGCCTGGCCGCGGCGCCTGGGCGCGCGGCCGCCCTCGAGGGCAGCGAACCCAGAGGGGCGCGCATCTCTGGCAGATCCGGGAGGGCGCCACTCCAAACTGGATCTCGAGCTGCCACTCTGTACCGCACGTGCGCCCAGCCCAGAGGAATGCGCATCTGTGGTCAGTTGAGGAGGTAACGCAGTGCTCGTTGACGGTCCAGGCGAGAGTGGCCCAGCCTTCGCAGACGATATCCGCCAATCGTGGTCGTCGTCCTGATCGGAAAACCTAAGTCATCATCTAGCGCAATGCGCTCGCCTGCTGCTGCAGCAATGTCCCGCTCGCAAGTCACAGGAGCAGAAACGGGCCCCATCTCCGCGACACTCTGAATATTCGTCGCCATGATGCCAACAGCGTTTGCACACACGGGCTCGACAAGCTTCTGATCAATATCGGTGCTGCTGGTTGTTCCTAGCGGCCAACACCTTGGCGAACAACGGGTTGGTTGTAAGCCACACAACAGCAGCGCGCAGATCCACCACGTGCTTGGGCAGCTCGGGCGCCTTGCCGTCTGGATAGCAGGCCGGCAGAGCCCGTCTCGAAGCTCCTGCTCGGAGGCGGACCCGAAGATCTTATGTTGCTCCTGCCGCATGGCACGCTGCCCCTGCTGGCCCCTGCCCACCAGGGCCCTGCCCCGGCGCCGAGACGAGCCTCGGGATGACATCGGCCAGCGCCTGCGACACAGTGGCTGACTGCTCGCCGACTCTATGCTGTTGGAACAGCTTCCCAACCTGCCCCACGTCGAGCTTGATCCCAGGTATCTGGGCAGCAGCCAGGACAAACTCCTTCGGCGGGACCACCTCAGAGTTCGTGAGCTCGTGAGCGCGCGCCCTGATCTCAGCGGCGTCGCCCTCGAGCTTCTCGAGGTCCTTCTTCGTCTCCTCCGAGCTGCTCTGCAACTTGGCCAACTGGGCATTCTTGGTTTCGATGAGCTCCTTCGTGGTGGCCACCCGCTTCTCCACCCTCATGCGCTTAACCACCTCTTCAGACTCGGAAAGTAGGCCGCCCCCCCTCGTCCAGCATCTCGGTGTCCCCTGCACAGGCTGCATGCGGACTGCACCTCTTCAGACTCGGAAAGCGGGCCGCCCCTCTCGTCCAGCACTTCGGCGTCCTCTGCAGAGGCTGGAGGCGGACTGGCTCGCAGCTTCTTGCCCGCCGGCTCGAGCCGCATGGCCGTGTCCTCGAGATCCTTCGCCTGCTTCTCCCAGGGCGGCACGCGCTTGGACGGGGCGGAGGGCTGCACGTTCGTGTGGAAGCAAGCAGTCACCCTTCCGCGGCCACAGCGCGTACAGTCCTTGCTGTTGGCGGGGATCCACCACGGCTTCCCCGTCTTCGGCTGCGAGCACCGCTTGCGGTGCCAGCGGTCCGAAACCTTCGCGCGCGAAGAAGGCGCCATGCTTCTGGATGGGCAGCGCACATCCTACCCTTGTACGAAACACTCTTGTGATCAAGCCTCGGAACAGAGAAGTCCACGTGCTCCCCGGTGAAACAGAGCATCTTGAGCCAACACGGCTACAGAAGGGGATGGGGAGGAGGAAAAGGAGGGGAAGGAGGACGAGAAGGAGGGGGAGAAGGAGAAGGGGCGGGGAGAGGGGGAGGAGGGGGAGGGGCGAGAGGATGGGAGGAGGAGGACGAGGCCACCACCGTCGGGCGCGCAGGCATCGGCCGCGCGAGTTGCGTCTCGGGTGCTCGCGGAGGCCGCTGGCGTCGGCGCCGTCGACGAAGGGAGGAGGAGAGAAGGCAAGGAACAGGAACAAGGGCCACGCCAAGTCCGCCGATGGCCGGCTATGGCCGCCGAAGGCTGGCGATGGCAGCCGATGGCGTGCGATGGCAGCCGAAGGCCGCCGAAGGCCCCCGATGGCCGCCGAAAGGGTGCCGAAGGTCAGCGAGAAGGGTCAGGCCGCCAGGGGCCTGCTTGAACCTGCGGGTCGGGCCCTGGCCCCCGCTCACCATCTCGGCCTCGGCCTGCTCGAGCTCTTCCAGGGCCCCCTCGAGCAGCCGGAACTGCGAGCTCACGCTCCTACGGCGGCGCGCGAATCGGAGGAGGAGGAGGAGGAGGACGAGGAGGAGGAGGAGGAGAATCTATAAGGAGAAGGAACGGAGGAGGAGGAGGAGGAGGAAGAGGAGGAGGAGGCAGAGGCGGAGGAGGTGTAGGAGGAGGGGGAGGAGGAGGAAGAAGAGCAGGACGAGAAACATGATGATGAGGAGGAGAAAAGTTTGAACGACATCCATGCTATCAGCGACAGCGACAATACAAGGAGCATAAGGAGGAATAGGAGGACGAATGAAGTTTAGGAGGAGGAGGAAGAGGAGGAGGAGGAGGAGGAGGACGAAAGTAAACCCACAACTCGTCAACGATGTTGAAATACACCCTCCCTACAAGGTCCTTCTTCATAGGCCCCTGCAGGGGTCACTTCCACTGAAGGAATTGCCCCGTTGGGGGACAATCGTGTGAACATATTGAAGCGGCCCAAAACACTATTCTCAAAACTTCAACGTCACGAAATAACCTGACTGTTACGTGTTGGCGATCTTGAACCGTGCCAGAACACGATTGCCGATTGCTGGGATTTCAAACCCCGAATCAAATGACATTATGCGCCCTGACGATCCGGAAGTTGTCCGAAATGAAATTTACGGTCTGGGAACCATGATAATCAATCAATACCACCTTGCAAATGTTTTAAACGAATGCGCGCGGCGCTACGGCGAGAACCACATTCTGAAGAGAAACCGCCCCCAATCCGTGATCCGTGAAACTCCTGCAAGTGTGTAACACGAACGTGCGCGGCGCTGAGGCGGGACCCACATGTGGAGAACCACCCGCTCTCGATCGGCGAAGCTTTTCCCGATTTCTTGAACGAGTGCGCGCGGCGCTCAGGCGAGAACCACATTTTGAAAACCACCCCCCCAGAGAAGCACCGGATGGGGCCCTCCACGGGCCCTCCGCAGCTCATGCCCACGTCATCCTCGGGCCGGCGCGCGGGCCTCTCAGGGTGGGCGGCGTGTCCCCAACCTCCTCCACGGCAGCTCGCCGTCTTCGTTCCTTCCTCCTGCTCTCTCCTCCTCTTCCTGCTCCCTCCTCCTCCTCCTGCATATCCTCCTCCTCCGTCCTCCTTCTCTCTCCTCCTTCTCTCTTCTCCTTCTCTCTCCTCCTCCTCCTCCTCCTCCTCCTCCTCCTCCTCCTCGTCCTCCTCCTCCTCCTGCAAAACCCCGAGGAGGGTTCTGCACGGGAGCTTGGCGACAATGATAACGATAGGTCACCTTTATACTCCCGAACGGCAAAGCAGGTCTATGTAGCTTCGACCGTTAAACACTTGAGCCAAAGGCAGCAGGGTTACTATTCCACCCCTGTCACACGCATGCTTGCATGTTAACACCCCCCCTCGGACGCCAGTCCGCATTGGCTGACGGGGAGGTGCCTGTAAACTCAAAGACAGGTTAAATCAAGCAACAGGCTGCGTGAACATCGTTACATCACCGAATTCGAAATTATCTCGTAACAACGTTCACGAGCACCACGTCTCTCAGACATGCAACGTGAGCTCAAGTAAACATTCAATCAGTTACGAGTTTAAACGTAGCATCCAAAGTTCACACGGCAGGCTAGCATTTATATGGTTTTGATTGCTTTCGCATTTTATGCGCCAATACCTGCGGTTACTATAAAAGATGCACATGCAAATAGATTCAGCTCAATGGTCTACTGCAACGCTATTGTTAAGACTGGTTGGGAGGGGAGATGAGAGCGAGCGTAAAAGAAAGGCATGCCGGTCACCTGTCACCGTTTACGAGCGGCGCGGGCGCCTCACTGACGGAGCACGCGCGCCCCTGGACTTCGGTAAACCACGGTGCCCCACGCTGGCCGCCGTATAGGACGACACCCTGTTAAGGGCCTGCGTCGGGCTGTAATAGTCGGTGTCCAGGTACGCGTTAATGCGCTCCTCGTCGTCCAGCCAGCACCCCTCGTCAAAGCTCTTGGTGGACCCGTCAACAATGTTGTGGTAAGTGCCGATGGCCCTCCAGTAACTGGCGTGGGGAGCCTTCAGCAGAGGTTTACCACCTGGATTGTTGCGGAGGTGCTCCTCGACCGCAACTCCGGTAAACGGGTTCACAGTCCAGGCCGGGTCGGTAAGCCAGTTGGGGAAGTCGTCGCGCGGCAACCACCCAAACCAACAGAGCTTCTCGCGGTGGTCACTTTTACGCTCGGTGATGTGATCGGCAGGCCAGTTGTCACGGTAAAGTGCCCTCATGGACCCCTGGTCGTTAAGAGCGACGTCTAGGATGGTCTGTTGCCAGTAAACCGGAGGCTTGTTGATGCTGCCCTTTAACTCCTCGGCGCTCCTGACCTCGAGGTCCTCGATGAAGTAGTTGCGGTAATACACCTGGAACCCGTTCATGTAACGGCAATAGAGCTTGGCAAGGTCGTGCGTCGCAAACCTGATCACGGTAACCCCAGTTGAGATGTAACCGTGCGGTCCGTAAGTGTCTTCCACCAGGTGCTTAACGGAGACCACGGTGGGGTTGCCGTGGGGCAGCGTCCCGGCCCACGTTAGCAGAAGGCCGTTGAGCTGTTTCTCGTTCATTTCTGGTGCCTTGTTGACGTAGACCTGTGTGTCTGGGCAGCTGTGAACGTCGAACCACACTGGGTGGAGATCGTTAACGTGGATCGGCGGCACGTACTCGTCGTCGAACAGGGATTGTACGTGCCCGACCACGTCAACCCACTCGTCGTGCTTTTCCAGCTCCTTCTCCGTCAACTGAGATCTCCAGCTGCTTGGGCCCTTCAACACGGAGTAACCAAGGAAGCCGTAAGCGTGCTGCCCGTAAATGTCGACGAACACCTCATCGTAGTCGTTAAGCTCCCGCCCCGCGTTGCCCTGAATAGATCGACCACCTGGAGTCGTTAACCCCTCTTTTGCCACATGTCCGACGAAGTTGCCTTCGAACCTGCGCCAGTTGTCGCGCGTCTTCATCGTTAACGCGACTACCTCCCTGGGGTCGGGCTCCACCTTGTAGTTGACATCGTGGTCCTCGGTCCTGTCGTTCACCATGGGCATGCGGCCGTTGACATGGTACAGTGGGCGGTACATGCCCCTGGCAATGTTCCGCGAGCATGCCGCCAGCTGCTCGTCCGTACGGTTAACAGCTTGAGGCTGCGGTGGAGGAACATACTGGGTCGATAACTTCTTGGGCACCGGAGGCGGGGGATTCATGCCGCTAACACTGCTCGATGCACCTGACTCACCAAGGCCTGGAGGAGGCGGCTTGGGCGCCCTCACGTTCACCACCGGGGCAGGGCCTTTTGACACTTCGTCACGTTGACTGCCCTGTGCACGATCTTCATCCATCTTCATTCCCAGCTGCAGTAACTCTTCCAATTCCCGTTTACGCTCATGCATGGCCTTGGGTGCTTTCTTGTAAACAGGTTGAGGTGACGTTGACTGCGGGATCTTATTCGGCGACACGGATCGACCGAACCCTCCGGTCTTGGGCGTGGTGCCGGTAAAGCCCTGAGCCGGGGGTGCACCCGATGCCGCGGCAGCTCGGGCTAGAGGCTGGCTGGCCCCGGCCGCCGCGTTGACTGCAGTGGGAGGTGCCTTGGCGGCCACTGCCGTTGGGGGCTGCTCGGGTAACGGCGGAGGAACCTGCGGGATGTTGGTAACCGGGGAGTTGATCGGGTCATGCAAGAACCTCTGTAATCCTTCCAGCCTCTCTGTTACTGCCACCAACAGGCGTAGTGCCGCATCACGTTTACCCTCGAAGTCCTGCAGGGGCGTGATGTTCTCGGTAAGGCGCTTGGCGGTGTTCAGGAGGTAACCAATGTTGTCGTTGATGCGCCTATACTTGGTTGCATTCTCCTCCGCGTTAACTCCCGAGTCGCGATTCTGAATGTTCAGGTCCGTAATCGTCGCCATCAGAGCGTTAATCTCCGCCTGCGCCCTTTGGAGATTCTCGTTGACGTCGTCACTGTCCTGGATCAGCGCCTCGTTCTGCCGCGTTAATTCCTCGATCCTCTTCGCCATGTCATCCGCGGCCCTTTGCACCTCGTCAACGTGTTTGTCGTGGGCCCCATGGAAGTTGATCGCCATGTTAGTGAGGGTTACGGTAAACGCGTGAGCAACGTGCACCATGTCGTCAACACGGCGGTTGAGGTTCTCACGCGTAACCGGTCCATCCCCAGCCGGGCTCTGGTCGACCATGGAGCCGTTAATGGTGAGGTTGACCTGGGGAGCCGCCATGCCTTCGTTCACGCCCAAGAGTGAGAGGTAATGGGTGGAGAAGGCCTTTAATAGCTGCAGTTTGCTTGATAGAAATGAGCTGCGAACATCAACATTCGGTGCATCAACATTCGGTAGCTGGCGCAAGCTCATGCCTGCCTGTTAATGCACATTGATTCGTGTTTCGTAGATGTGTGCTCATGCTTTCACGACTGACATACTTGGTCAACGCATCTGCTGCATTCTCGTGTGTCCCTACTTTCACAATACGAATCACTCCCTCCTTAACTTTCTGCTGTAACCACAATTGACACACCTCGATATGTCTTACTTTCCCCAAGCCTCGTCTGCTCGCAATGGCAATCGCAGCTGTGGCGTCGCTCTTCACTGTAATCTCAACTTCCAAGTTAAAGTCTCTCAATACTGCCTGAAGTCCTAAACCCACTGATCCTCCTTTCACCAGTCCATAATACTCTGCTTCACCTGACGATAATGCGATGACACTCTGAGTCGTGCTCCAAGATTTTATGAGATGTTTACCCCACATCACTACTCCTCCACTCGTAGACTTCCTCGTTCGCTTACATCCTGCGTAATCCGTGTCAGCCCAAATAGTTAATTCTTGGGGCTGCTCCTGATATTGATACACATAGCTGCTTCTGCTGTGGTACTTCAAATACTTTCCTAACTTGACTAAACCCTTCCAAGAACTCATCGTGGGCTTTGACATGGTCCTAGCGAGTTCCTTTACCGAATACTGTATGTCAGACCTGTCCTGAGCTAAGTAATTTGCTCTGGC